ATGGTTGGGCGAGAAAGAGGAAAACGGCGGTCATTTGGTCATCGTTTTCTGCCAGGTAGAAAGAAAAAAAATAAAATGTTATTCTGCCAAACGAAAATAAGTGCAAAACAATTTCGACCGTGCGGCTTCACGAACGTGTAGAGTGGAAAGCGCGGCTGTAATTGCTCGAAACGTGATGACGGCGAAAAAAGTTCACTTACTGCAAAGTGCTTCGAGTACTGAAAAACGCTGATATCCGCTGATTCCGCTCTGGTACCTTTTCACCATCGAACAAGTCGATCGCACCGACTGGTGGTGAACTTTCAAAGATCCGCCAACGACTACTACTTCCACCGTACAGACTACGACCAAAGTTTCAGCCGACTATTAAAATACATTTAAAACTTTTAATAGCTGAACAAAATTAAACTCGCAAAAAAAAACACCTAGCAAAGACTAGGCACAATGGCAATACAATGAGGGGTCAGCGACGGCTGTGGCATCGACGTCAGTCGATGGCATGAAGGTCGTCGTCCTCGTAGACACACGAACTTCAAACCGGACGACAACCTACTGCCTCTCCGTCCGTTCGTCCCAGTCGTCGTCACCGCCGCAAAAATAACAAAGCATTCGTTTTTTACAGCTTTCCCGCTTCGCACCCGATTTCGACTGCGCCGTCATCGTCGTAGTAAAAGTGGAACATTGCACCGAGCCGCAGCACCAGCAGAATCCAGTAAACGCGAACGCCGAACAACGACCGAATTGACGACGTCCTGTCCGACACCCCGGCGCCTGGCAAAAACTTGCCACCGGCCACTGCTCCTTGAGCCCGCCGCTCCCGTTCGTATTTTTGGCATACTGTATTGACGAAGAAAAAGACCCGAGTTACTGTACTCTACAATACGAGTTGACTCCCAGACGGCGGTCGGGCTTTAGTTGCTCCCAGCATAAGGGGGGTTATTCACAACGGTGAGCGATGCAGACTAGGTAAATGGTCAGTTGTGCATCGTCCGCTAGTTTCCTTCTTAAAAGAATACCACAACCACTTAAGCAGCCTTGCACACGAGTTGTTGTTTTGTCCACGTCATTTCTGGTTAACGTAACTTAAATAGCAGAGGAATTAAGGATTTATATGACTAATCGTTAAAATTGGTTGATATTAGGAAACGTTCACTCCTGCGGCACGAATCATACTTCTCTTCGCAAGCAGATCTGTCTAAACATGCTTCCATCTTGTGCTGCCCTTCAACGAGTCTGTCACCAGAGCATGGTCTCCAAACGAGTAAGGTTTTGGTTTTATTTCCGTTTACTTTTCGGGCTATCTTATCAAACCAAGCCCAGCGTCAGTTTCTGAGTTCTTCTGACAGATTTCTCAGACGGTTGTCAACAAAATCCTCGTTTGTGACACACTGTGGAGCAATTAAAGGTCGTCCACAGCAAATATCACGGGATCTTATCTGATAATACTATTTAAAAAGGTTAAATATCTAAACTAAATAGAGTCGATCATAGTAACGGCATGTTTGGCAATTCTGTTGTACAGCAAAACGCTTATTTTAGATGAAACCTGCCACGTGCCATTAAATGTGTATGATCATCCGTCGTTCTGCACGGGGATCAGTTCAGTCATGGAAATAATGTTTGGGTCGACCGCGGTGCAAGCCTCGAAAGATTTTTAAAAGATAGATAATTTAGTCTTATTGCAAATTTTAAAATATCTGTAGTAGCACCTACCCAGGATTAATTAGATGAATGGCGTGGTGTAACATTGCCTAATGGATCGACTCTCTAGGTACCAGATTCGTATCTGATGAAAAGAAAATGTTTAACTTAACCGCGAATCTCTTCAGCAAGGAATTGAACTCACGCAACTTTGGTGCAGCCAACTAAAAAATACGTTGCAATTGCGAATAATAGGATAGTTCTCCGGTCTGATAATGCTAGAAGGGACGAGCACTTCGGCCGTGTTGTTTCATGCGAGCACCCACTGCAGCTGCACTCCACCCTCAACCACCCGATAGCCCACTACACAATGTAAAAATCAGCACTAGGTGTAACCCAGATTTCGAATGCGAAAGAGTTTCAGACCATAAAAGCTAGTGCTCAGGAGCGATAACAGGATGGCGCACAGCTGGCCTAACCCCTTTTGGGCCACATTTACAAGATTCAGATTTTGAAGTGATAAGGGACACATAAAAAGGTTCATCGTTTTCATGAGACCTGCGGAGATAGTTACAGTAAATAGATTGGACAGAAGCTAAGCAAGGACACTAGAGCATATGGCCCCCAGTAGCGAAGCACATAAAAATGAAATAGGCTTCGCTGAAACCATGCACACCATAGGGAAGAACAGTGTCGTCGAATGCTACTACAGAGGAGGACGTTAATTTGAGGAAATCATTAGATGATATTTATAAAAACCAACGGTTTAAAGTATTTTTCTGCAGCACAAAAATCTAAGGAAACTAATTTTACAATAAGCATGATCCTCACCACAGCTTTCAGAGTAAAAACATGGTATATCAGTCTGCAATGGCTGTGACTGGATATATATTAACAAGACCCGTAAAGCGTTAAGAATGACATTAACGGACCACAGAAGAGCCATCAAGTACTGTAACGCTGATCATTATGGTTTTGATGCTCATAACCCGGAAAATGGTCATGACTTGAACAGCAGCGATGCAGCGGTGGTCGATCCACGCTGGCACAAGGTGAAGCTGTTAATCAAGGAGTCGCAACATATCGCTGATTACAGAAACAGAACTCGCAACGATTGAGTTGGCTCCACTGACATTTCCGTCGCGTGAAGCATGACTGATAGTTTAATTGGTGACCGGGCCGGGCTAGCGTCCAGCCAACCAGGTCAACGTCCAAGTGACCCATCAATTTGGTTTTATTTCGTGTTCATTCCCTGATGTTGAGCGATGCCAATTCTGTCGAGACGTTGGAAATCTTGTAAATATATTTTCTTGCTTCCAGTGCTGCCAACCTTGGAACGAGAAGATCTGTCACCGGATGCTGTCATAGTTAACCAGTGTGGAAAGAAACCAACTGAATAAATTTTTATATCAAGAGAGCTGGGCGAATATCTGAGTAGGGTACGCCGCTGGGTCATCATAAGTGCCAGTATTCTTTGATTCGCCATTATGATGCCGTTGATTCCTGTGACCAGTTTATAAGCAAACCTGTTTGCAGCGCTAACTCATGTAACTTGTTTCTCTCAAAAACAAAGCCAAGAAACAGCTCCTCATTCAGAAACAGGACAGGTTGGCAGAATTTCGCATAGGTGATTAACGTTTATAAAGTATAAAAATTGATAGTAATAAAATTTAGGGATACGTCCAGCGGCTAAACGGCATCTTGTCCCGAAATTTGTTGCTTCCAATAGTGCCCACGTCATACACGACAGATGCACATGCATTCTTATCAGTGGGAGGGGGGCTAATAATAATTGTTAATCATCAATTTCACAACCTATCACGTCCGACGGGAAGTCTACCTTGCTTCTACGAAGACAACCATTTGCATATCTGACAATTTACTGCCGCTAGGGAGAGGGAAAGGCTAGTTAGTTGACGTTTTCTCTGATCCTCCTTCGTAAATTGTTTGCTGGTGAAAATAATAAATTTACAGTGATTCTTAAGCGATCCAGACAAGTACTTTTTTACTTATCCTTGAAACGTTGTGACGTCATTGATACCATGATCAGTGGGTACAAGTACATGTATGAGGAACAAATTTAAACACTGTGCTTCGAGCTGTGCAAGGAACGAGATCGAATCGCGAAAAGAGAAAAGATTTATCACACCCGTTAATTCTAACGAGAAAGGAATCCATTTCGCTTTGCACTGGTGCAACCAGTCAAGAAACGGAGAGAATATCGTTCACTTGTGGGCAATACTCTCATAGCGGCATGGACATCAGTGTCTGCAAGGTACAGTCGTGTTGTCTGATAGTTTTTCTTGGCTAAAATTCGCCCTGACCCACATTATAGCTGATCATCCAGTGTGATAATCAGCATAGGATGCAACCCCCTTCTTGCAGCGAATCAAGTTTTCCACAGAACAAGTTAGGCAGAGCGTTTGAACGCGCGTCATTCGGTCAGTTTCGGTTTCGATGACCGCTGACCCTCCGAGTAGAGGAGGTAAAAGCGGCTTTAGGCAATGACCTCAATCCGCAGTCATGTGTCAGCGTCTAAGTTTAGCAGAATAGTTGCAGAAGCTGAATCTGGAGCACGAGTTGAGTAACTCGCTCCAGATCATTCTTGGCCATCTTAACGGTCTTCGGTAGATAAAGAAACCGCTTAAGCAGGCGAAATTCAGCTACTTCACTTGAGTCGGACAAAAGCCTGTTCAAACACAAACGGATATCCGTAGGAAGAGACGTAGTAATTGGCAGGTTTTGCGAAATAGTTGTTGTAATAATTTAGATATTGATCGATATTCTCTTATGCCCGACATATAAAATTTCTTAGCCAAAATTAGCTCATTTAACCACGCTCAAATTTCACAGGGCAGCTGAAATTTGAAACAGTAGCCAGGCAGATTATAGAGAGAAGGACTACGAAACGTGCTGTTAATAGCAGTCGAAAAGTCCGGCTAATAAAAGAACTGTTGTGTGGCATGTGGCATATATATATAGTTTGAATACCAGATGCTGTTTAACTAAGAAACATGAAAAAAATTGGATTTCGACCACAACTGAGAGCTGCAATAAAACGAAACATAACCGCTGCCTGTCAGATGGCGGCAGAAAAGTAATGAAGACGCAAATGCGAAAACAACGAAAATATGCCCACAGCAAACTAACCTTGGCTAAGATGATTTCATATTCCTGATCACATTGCCATCGTGTTCATAGGCCGTAATTCCCTCTCTTCGCATGGCTGTCGTGTCGCTTAATTCAGCAAATGAAGCTCGCCCGATTAAAAATCCTTGCAGAGGCTGATACTCCACAGTCGAAAAGGAATAGCGGATTTGAAAATCTAGGGATGTTAGCTTTTATAAAATTTTTCCCTCAGACGGGAGCAAATTACAGATCGATGCTCAATTTAAGAAGCCATGAGAGCAGACCTGTTTCCTGATAACGGA